AAAATTGATATTGTTGGAAAGAATCTGTACAACGTTGTAACTTATTGATGTTTTCATGAGTAGGTTAGCGGTCAAGGATTTCATTTGGCAAGTTCATAATATCGATAGTGTCAAATCAATCACTAATTTTACAGAGTTATCTGCACTTAATTACTTTTAGCTTATGCCATTGATATCTGCATATATTTTATACCTTTTTTTTTTTTTTTTTTGGTTAATTTATGTAAATTTTTGTTCTTTAATTAAAAATAGACAGGACCCCTTTCTAAAAATGATAACAAATCAATATCATTATTTTTTTTTTTTATTCTGACAAGTGTTGCAGCTTCTCAGGGAAAAAAAAAGATCATCTACAAACATTTCACCAAAAAGAATTTCCCTATTTTTTATTTTTTTTACGAATGGACTTGTCAACTAAAAAGTGGTACTTTCATTTGTTTTAAGTTTTAATTAACACTACTAACTTACTAAAACAGTAACAAAAATTAAAAAGTGAAAAAAAGTTTGGGGGTTCTATTTTATGTTTTTGCTAGTATATCCCTCAAAAAAAAAAAAAAAAAAAAAAAAAAAAAAAGATAAGATTTATAATTAATATTCTTTTTAATTAAGTAACGTTTTTCAGTTTTAAAACGTCTTCAATGAACACTGAACAGAAAACTAGTTAAGCTGTAATAATGTATAGATACAAATTGATTTGCGGTCGTATACACTCCCACCATAGAATACACACAGGAAGTTAAAACAATTAAAAAGGCATGTAATGTAATTAAAGAAAATTACGAAACTGAAATGTTAAACTAAAAAAAAAAAAAACAGTTGATGAGGCAATACTGTTCCGAATTTCTGACATGATGAGATATCGTTGACGATACGGACTTAAAATAAAAAAAAAGTGGGGGGGGACAATTAATAGTCTGTTATTTGTTATCTTTTTTTCATATTCTCTCACACTCAGTAACCTCTTATCATCTTCTTGCGTCTTAGTGGCTTTATTGTCTTGCTTGGGGTGAAATGATTAAAAAATAATTTTTTTTAATAAAAAAATTAATTAAAATAATAACAACAAAGATGAGGACAACAGTCCACATTAATTGTAACTATAAAAATAAAATTTGTAAATTAAATAATTAATAACTCCTCACCCCAGAAATTTGAACTAAATATTTAAAAAAACGTATATCAAAGTGAATAACATTTCCGCCAATAAAATTAAAAAAACTAAGTGTTGTTCAATATATTTGACGAGAGCAATAATTATTAAACGAACTGATATAACAACGTTCAATACTTTTTAATATCGATGTCCTGAAGAGTGAAGAAGAGTGATTGAAGAGTAAAGCATTACGAAACTCAGAGTCGAATTGGATAAGTAAAAGTTGAGTATCGAACATATGAGTTTTAAAATAAAAATAAAACATTAATGAATGTAAAAACATTCCCAAATAATAAAAAAAAAATTGTCACTTGATTTGGTCGATATAGAAGATAGAAGGGTCAGTAAAACAGAAAACTGGATATAAAAAGAAAAATAAAGCAAAAAAAAAAAAAAAAATTATTTTGATGTTGACATTTTTAAAACTAAGACTGCCGAAAACAAATGGTCAAAGAGTTCACAGTCTGAAGAAACGAGACGTACTATAATCGAAAGAACTAAAGTGGGAATGCTAGTCCAGATGATTCATCAAATAACTTTTTACCCAGAATTTCGGACAAAAAGTTTTTTTTTTTTTAAATTATCCATTTGAACAGAAACCTAAATATTTATGGACGGTAGCAAATTACTCGTAGTAGTTTCTACAGGTAAATGTAGGATTTTTTGGTTTCGTGTTTTAGTTTGTTTTGTTTTGCTGACAGTTAAGAAACATAAGCCAACTCAAATCAATAAAAAATAAACTGTATTGTTCTTTATTTATTGAATGTTTAATTATTTTACTAATACTTTTTAAATATTTTCATTTTTCATTTATTTTAACAAGTCCGTAATAATTACCACTCTTTAACTGCTCAGTGTAGTTTTATTCAAACACACACACAAAAAAAAATATTAAATTTGGTTGTTGACAAGTAGTTTTTTAACAAATGGAAAAGCCACTTGTTTTTTTTTTTTTGTAATTTTTGTCAAAAATTTTAGCTTCACGTGGGTAAGTTGTTTGTTGCACACAAAGGAACAAGAAGAGAATACGACTTTTTAAAATTAGAAATAAATAGAATTATTCTAGTCGTCATTAACTTCTATCTGAAAGCGAAATTCTTCTAGTAAATTAGCATGTATAGAATTTTGTTTTTCCTTGGAAATAAATTTTTTGTATAAACTAAAAAAAAAAAAAAAAATAAAAGTAAAACACTTCATTGAGTTTTTGTAAAAGTTTTTTTACTTTCTTTTTAATTTGGTAAATTTTCATACACTAAAAATCTAAGTTTTGAATATCTTTATTCATTATTTTAATTATTCAGAATTTGTAGAAAACCCTAAGTATAATAAATATTTATTAATGGTTTTTATTTTAATTTCATTAATAAAGTAAGTGTGTGTGGCAAGTTGGACCAATCAAATGGCTTTGCGGTTTCTTTACAAAAAATTCAAATAAAAAAAATCAATTTGGATGAAGATGCGTACACAAATCGGCTGATATAAAAAGACTTTGTGTAAAAACGCATTTTGTGTGTGTGTAGTTTGTTTTGTTTGAATATGGTAAATTTATCTTTTATTCTTATGAAAAAAGAATATTAAAAAATAATAATCTGTTTTTAGTGTGTCTACGCATGTCTACGTCCGGTCATATAAAAAACATCCACAATTTTCGAAAAAAATCGAATTTTCTGAAGTTGGAGAAGATTTGTTTTTTACTTTTTAATGGACTATATGAAAAATTGTTATTAATCATCATTTCCTGGATAAAGTCAATTAAAAAAAAAAAATGTTGGAATAATAATGGAAATTGACATTTTTTCAAAGCTTTTTCCTTCTAGTTGTCAGATATAGCGTGGGTGTTTTAAAATATTTTGCATTTACAGACGATCTTTGAATGAGCTCTTTTGAGAAATAAATGAAATTTAGTGTGAATCGAAAACCAGAAACAAATTAACAATTAAAAAAAAGTTAAATCTAAAAAAAAGTAAGTAAAGTAAACAATAAAAACAATAGACTACTAAAAAAGTCAAGCAAGAGGCTTTTAGTTTCTTTTACAAAGATCCTTTTTCTGACATTAAATAAAAAAAAATAATCTTTGATTTTTTAAAATTTATTTTAATAAATGAAAAACACCACAAAAGGATTTTTTTTTAAATTGGAAAAAGTAAAAATTAACTAACAGCAACTAACGTTTAGTTAGAGTTTTTTTTAGTCAACAAAGTTTTTTTTCCCTAAGTTAACTAAATTGTTACTTTTTTTTTTTAATTGGAATCACCCCACGCAAAGCTGTAATGCCACCAAGACACAAGAAGAGGTACAGACGGTGTGAAAGAATTAAGAACAGAAACATTCAGGTTGACTGTTGACACTGACAGCGATTGATATTGCATTTCTGCGGATTAAGGTGGGCCGGAAAGTTCTCTCTAGTCTAAAACAATCATTATTTGTCCTTAATTTTAACTGTTATTTGAAAGATTTTGTCACGTTTAAAAAAAAAAAATTTGATAAACAAAGAAAAAAGATTTAAGTTTTTAAAAAATGACCACGAAAAGAAAAGAGTCGGTTAGAATGTTAAACGTCCAGGTTTATTTTAAGATCATTGGTTAATTTGTGATAAATCGAAAAAAAAAAAAAAAAAAAGATCGAGACTGACTTTTTGATTTCCCATTACAAAATAGTTTATTTACTTTGTAAAAATTAAAACTGTCAACACGCACAGTCAAGTGTCACATTTGTCATTCTTCTGTTTTTTGTTGACAAAAAAAAAATCAATGCTCTTTATGTGTATGTGTGTGCAAAAAGTGCACGCTAAAAATTAGAAGAAAGAAAAACGACAACAATAAAGTAATTTTTAGAGTGATTTTTATTTAACTTAAAATTTTAAAATGTTTTTGGAACTTTTGAAAAAATTGACACATTAGAAAAAAAAAAAAAAAATAGTCTTTGATTAATAAAACTATTGATTCGAAAAAAGAAGAATGTTTTCTAAAACTCGTTGCAAGTACTTTGTTTAAAAATATAAAAATTCTTCTAACGAACCTTCCTTTCCAATATACAGCATTCTTCCTAAGTGTTGTCATTTCAGTTATCTGATGAAATTCTGACCAAAAATTTGAAATCTGGAAATGTTTTTGTTATGCCTGCTATTAATATAATTTTTTGATAATCTTGAGGTCGATTTCATCATAATATTGACACTAATTAAAATAGGGATTCAATTAACAGAGTTGAGAAATGAAGGAAGGGAATCCCAGCCATGACGTCAAATGGGAAGATACGTGTTAGTTTAGGGAGCAAACACGATGAACAAGAATTGGCCAATGGGAGCGCGCCAAGAATCGTTAAACCAACCAATCAGGTTTAAACACGACTGCCAACGTAGAACTCTTAAATGCGAACGCTTGGCCAGCAGCACATCAATTCGGTTCTTAAAGCTAAGCACAATTATCTGACAAAATCGCTCTCTGCTACCTCATTTTGTAATTAAGGCCTTTAAGGCTTCATTTGTTCGGTTTTTGTGGACGATATTATTTCATTTCTTGAATTTATCGGGATTATTTTTGACAACAATAACACCAACTATCTAGTGTATTGTCTTTTTTTCAACAATCACAGGTAAGTTAATGAAACGTACCTCTTTTTATTTACTTTTTTTTTTCTTTCTCGTTGCATTTGTAGCAATTCGATTTTTAATTTTTTTTTCCTTATCTTTCTCTTTATGAGCAAAAACACAAATATCTAATTTCGACTTTGCCTCGTTACCGCAAACAAACCAAACTGACTAAATACGATTCCTCTTTTCACGTGTGTAACAACAGGCTTAACTTCCTTATTTTTAAATTCAGTTTAAAACGATCTTTATTCCTCTTCGACATCTTGTTAGAAGTTAATTTTATATATACCTAGAGACTGTCTTATTTAAAGACTTAATAATCTAAGCTTTTTTCCCCTACAAAATGTCAGATGTTATAAATCTTTAAAATAACTGACAATTGTCCCTTAAAGTCTCCCTCTAGTGCAAAAGCTCGACACACTTTAAGACCGTTTCACATAAAAAAAGGTGTGCGTGTATAATATATATATATATATATATATTCAAACTTTAAATACATTTGATTTGAGTTTAACAAATACTCAACTTACAAAAAACTGTTAAATACCAACTACTTGCTTGTCCCTATCCACACCGATTTAATTTTACTCCCTTCGCCTCTCGACATTATTCACTAATAATAAATTTTTATTTTTTACTTATTAAGGCTGTTCACTTCTTTGCTTAGATTTTGTTGAAGCTTTGAGAAACCTCTTTTAAAGTCATTTTAGTTCATTCATGAAGCCGAGTTTCATATACTTTTTCTTGTATATCTACATTTGATTGTAAGGCGGATTCTATAGTTTCTTCCTGAAATTATTTTTATTTTTTTTTTTTTCATTTTTAAATGAATGCCACGTCGTCATCGTAAACTTGAGCAATAATCTATTTTTTTTTTTTTTTTTTTTTTGTCGATTCTGTTGGCAAATAATTAAACTGTCGCCCCCCCTTTTTTTTCTCTAAAGTGGCAAAAGAAAATTAAAACTCATAAGCTTTCTTTAGTTTTTTTTTTTTTTTTTTTTTTCCGTTCTCTCTATAAGACTTAGTTTCGCACATCTTACCTATTTAGTGATCTAACTATTAAATTAAATACTTCGTTGTCGTCATTACTTTTGAGTTTTGACGATTTTTGTCTTTTCTCTATTGTCCCTATTTCCCGAAACACTGATCGTTGAAAATCTACCTTGATTTTTCAAGGTCTCGTCTACTGAACTTAAAATGTCCTAGTATTCTTTAAATTACAAAAAAAATACTGCTTTTTTCTTTTTTTTTTTTTTTTTTTTCTTCTTCTTAGGCCTGATCTGGGTCGAATTTGCTACTCTCTCTAGATTTTGCTGTCCTTTCTCTTGTATAGATTCGTCGGTCCGTCGACAAACTTTAAGTAGCAGTCTGTCAAACCTCCTTTGATTGAACACTGAAAAACTGCTAAACATATGCCGTAGTATAGTCACGCCTATCAATTTGTATTCTATTCTCTATTGTCCTTTTTTTTTTTTTTTTTTTTCTGTTTTTCTCTTTTGTTTCCCCTCCTATCCTTTTCAATAGTGGTGGGGATAACTAACTTGTTCCCAAAACAGCCACGTAAAATTGATCTTTTCTTCTCTACTTCGCTGTTCAGTTGATAGCGATACAAAAATTCTACTTAATTTGTCTTCGGAACTAAATGAAATGTCCCGTGCATCCCCCTCCCACAAACTTAGATGTTTTTTTTCCTTTTTGTTTACCAAATAATGGGGGTGAGGTTTTCTCTTCAAATAACTTTTTTTCTTAAACAAAACAAAAGAGTATCCATTTTTTTTTTATTGATAATCAGTCTGTAACTGCACATTTGCGATCCACTCGTGGAAAGTCAAAATTCGTTGGAAACAAAGATTTCGTTAATAACACCATCAAAATCGTCCTGATGGCACAAAGTAAATAAACTTTTAATTTGTTTCTGAAAGAGAAAGTACTTCCACTGTTCGAATCTGAGGCATTTGTCACAAGGTTAAATTTTTCGATCAACTTGAAGTAGGACCACCTCTCTACTTTTATTTTGGTCTTCTGCCATTGATCAATCAATACTGTTGAACATTAGACAAATCATTTCGGACTCTACTTACGATGGCATGCTATTCTTGTAAAGGATTCTCTGAAAGCAGGTTCTATTCATCTTTTAAACTTTAAAATAGTCTTAACTCTGAATTTGATAAAATACCACAACGATGACACTATTTTCAACTTCTAACTTCAGATCATGAAGAAACAAAACTTACCACTCCTGATTGTATTAGTTATGGCACTGACCACAGTGGTCAGTTGTGCCAAGAAAGAGGAAGACAGTAAGAAAAAAGAAACTGTGGGTACAGTTATTGGAATTGATCTTGGGACAACCTACTCTTGGTAAGTTTTACTTGTTTATTTAATCAAGTATTTACTTCTCTTAAAAACGAACATTTGCTTATTAATTTCTCTTGTCTGTCTTTTTAGTGTTGGTGTATTTAAGAATGGTAGAGTTGAAATAATTGCCAATGACCAGGGTAATCGTATCACCCCATCTTATGTGGCTTTCACAAGTGATAATGAACGTCTGATAGGAGATGCTGCAAAGAACCAGTTGACTAGCAATCCTGAAAACACTATATTTGATGTTAAACGTCTCATTGGTCGCACCTGGGATGACAAATCTGTACAACATGACATTAAATTCTACCCTTTCAAGGTGATCAATAGAAACAACAAGCCTTATGTACAAGCTTCAGTCAGTGGACAAATGAAGACTTTTGCTCCTGAAGAAATCTCTGCTATGGTTTTGGGTAAAATGAAAGAAATTGCTGAAGCTTACTTGGGCAAGGATATTAAAAATGCTGTTGTCACTGTACCTGCCTACTTCAATGATGCTCAAAGACAAGCAACAAAGGATGCTGGAACTATTGCTGGACTGAATGTCATGAGGATCATCAATGAGCCGTGAGTATTACATTTTTTCCAACTTAAGAAATTGTGACAGTTTTAAAGACTTTTCAAAATAAATTTACTTAATTTTTTAATTTTTTTTTTTTTCTCTCTTTCTCAGAACTGCTGCTGCTATCGCTTATGGTCTTGACAAGCGTGAAGGAGAAAAGAACATTCTGGTCTTTGATCTTGGTGGTGGTACTTTTGACGTATCTCTCCTGACTATTGACAATGGAGTGTTTGAAGTAATGGCTACAAATGGAGACACCCATCTTGGTAAGAGTTGAACTTGGCATATAAATTATATACTCATTCAATTTTATCTTTTTTTTTTATTTTTATTTTTTATTTTTAAACTCTAATCACTCTTGCTGCTTTCAGGTGGTGAAGATTTTGATCAGAGAGTTATGGAACATTTCATCAAACTGTACAAGAAAAAGAAGGGCAAGGATATCAGAAAGGACAACCGTGCTGTTCAAAAACTGAGACGAGAAGTTGAAAAAGCAAAGAGATTGTTGTCTACCCAGCATCAGGCCAGACTTGAAGTTGAAGCTTTGTATGATGGGGAAGATTTCTCTGAATCTATTACCAGAGCTAAATTTGAAGAATTGAATATGGTAAGTGACTTTTACTCCATTTAGGATGTGCTATTATATTTACATTATGTAAATTCTCTACAGTCCCTCTTTCACTATAGCAATCACTAAAGAGGTTCTTCTTTTTCTTTTATTTTTCCCCTCCCAGGACTTGTTCCGTTCTACAATGAAACCTGTTCAGAAAGTGTTAGAAGACTCTGATCTCAAGAAAGAGGATATTGATGAAATTGTACTAGTTGGTGGTTCAACTAGGATTCCTAAGATCCAACAGTTGGTAAAGGATTACTTCAATGGCAAGGTAAATAGATTTTCTAATAGCTCATTTTGTATCTAAGAGCTATTGTGGCAGAAATTAGGTTAGTCTAAATAATTTGCTTCTTGTTTTAGGAACCAAACCGTGGTATCAATCCTGATGAGGCTGTAGCTTATGGTGCTGCTGTGCAGGCTGGTGTACTTAGTGGTGAAGAGGACACTGGAGAATTGGTACTGCTTGATGTCAACCCCTTAACCATGGGAATTGAGACAATTGGTGGTGTCATGACCAAGCTGATTTTACGTAACACTGTCATCCCAACAAAGAAATCTCAGATCTTTTCCACAGCCTCAGATAACCAACCTACAGTTACTATCCAAGTCTTTGAAGGAGAACGACCTATGACTAAAGACAATCACTTGTTGGGCAAATTTGACTTAACAGGTATTCCTCCAGCACCACGTGGTGTTCCTCAGATTGAAGTTACTTTCGAAATTGATGTGAATGGTATTCTCAAAGTAACTGCTGAAGATAAAGGCACTGGAAATAAAAACAACATTGTCATCCAGAATGACCAAAATAGACTTTCTCCTGAAGAAATTGAAAAGATGGTTTCAGATGCTGAGAAATATGCTGATGAAGACAAGAAAATAAAAGAGAAAGTGGAAGCCAGAAATGACCTTGAAGGATTTGCTTATTCTCTGAAGACTCAGTTAGGTGATAAAGAGAAATTGGCTGGCAAAATCAGTACTGAAGACAAAGAAACAATTGAGAAAGCAGTAGAAGAAAAGATCAAGTGGCTAGAAGAAAACCAAAATGCAGAAGGTGAAGAATATAAAGCTAAAAAGAAAGAACTTGAAGAAATTGTACAGCCTATTATGAGTAAATTGTACCAAGGACAAGGGGGAGAACAGCAACAACCACCCCAAGGTGAACAAGAAGAAAAAGATGAATTATAAAATTAAGATCTCTTAGGACTACTTACGAGACTCTAACAAATTAAAAAAAAAAAAAAAAAATTGAAAAGAGAAACAATTTCTATAAACTAAACTTGAAATGCCAGATCAGTTAAGATTGGCACTGGCTAAGACCAGTTTTCGATGGATATGCTAAGTGATTGAGACTTGTGTATGTGTGTGTATATAGTCTTCATGTGCTGTGTTGTATTCATGTACATCTTCACTTTTTTTTTTTCTTTTTTTTTCTCTCTCTGTCTTTGGCTGGCTGCTATCAATACCTCTCACTTTCATCCCAAGCCTCAATCACAAAATGGCAAATTGTTTCTCTCTCCATATATATATATAACTTTTTTTTTTCTCTCTCCAAGAAAAATCCTCTTGAGAACCACCTGTTGCCAACTGGTTCAAACTTCCCCTAGTCTGTATCAGACACGATACAAAACACCAACATGCAAGTCAAATGTTTGTATGTAATGGTAGATAGCAGCCACATAAAGATCAGCAGGTATTAGGTAAAACATTAAAATTTGTATAAAACAATACTTAAGTTGTTGTCTTTTGTAATTTATCATTTAGCACCAAACTGAATTACATGTACAAAAAGAGGAAAGAACAGCTTTCTGCTTTTTTTTTTCTTTTTTTTTTTTGTTAATCAAAACTTAAGCATGTTGAAACATTCCTGAAATAGTGCAAAATATACTGGGGGTTATTAAGTATTTATAATTAAGCCTTTTTTTTTTTTTTTTTTTTTTTTGAAAATGTTCACTACTCCCTCCATCAGAAAGCTATTTGGCCCTCTTCTAAGTTTGAAAGAAAACTTAACTTAATAAAGACTGAAGTAAAATTACAAATTGCTTGTCTTCAATTCTCTTTGATTACTGACTTTAATTTTGCTCAAACATTTAGAATTTCTCTTTCTACTCCAGTAAGCAAATAGAATCTGGGACAAATTGAAAATGGTATATTGTATGGTTTTAATTGTTCTGTTGCCAAACAGATTTGATGTGACTAGTTCTCATTTTCTTCTCTGAACTGATATCTTGCATTGAAATTGTAACTTTACTTTTGTTGCTAATATTTTGATAAGCAGCTTGAAATTTATGTATTTTTCATAAAATACCTGGCTAATCTTGATATGAATTAATCAGTCACACCCAAATTGTCAAATGGAAATTGGCAGCTAGTACATTGATTAGTGATAAATGACAGGTTGAAAATGGTAATTATGTAAAACTTGTATCACATGTCATCCCAACATGTGATGCTGCATCTTTAAGATTTGATATTTTCTGATAATGTGGAGAGGGAGAGTATTCCTTAATATGTTCAGAATTATAACACTGAATGTGATGTTTCTGTAGCTTTCTGTGATAAACTGATTTTTTTCATCTGTCACATAGCTACCAAGGCTGTGCTTTTAACATACTGTATCTCTTTTCCAAGCTTTCTTTCTCTTTAGGCATATTAAGGAAAGGCGTGTACAATAGTTTCTGGTATTAAATACATGATTCCAGATCACTGAACTGTTTCAGTTTAGACTGGTTACCATAGAAACATTTTTACAGACATGTTCACTTCTTTTAAAGGATCCTATCCCACAAATATACAGTGAAATTTACTTAATGTACAAACTTATCAATCCCATGAAGTGTTATGTGGTAGATTACAAGTGCCCAGAAATATGAAAAATTGAACTGTATGCTTGCATCCAATGCTTTCTTTAATGCCCATTTCTCTTAAACTTTTCATAGATACAATATTTAATGGGTTTGAGAGAATCTGGTTTTGTGAAGGAAGTTTTAATGGAGAAGTTTGTTTTGGGTTTGTTTTTTTATCTAATATATATATATATATATATATATATATAAAAAATCTACAATCACATGTTATTGGAGTTTCCCCCACCTCCTCTCTATAAGTTTTAAATTGAACAGTCTTTTACCTATATCACCTTTTGTAAGAAAATTCTGGCACTGCACAGTTCTATAAAGACCTCCAAAAGGTGTTAGGGGTCTTCCAAAAATTCTCAGTCTGATCAAAGAATATACATGATGATGATGATAAAAAAAAAAAAGTTTTATGGTACACAGCATTTATGAGTAACCAATGCAAGATTTTCTTTCTTTGTAATTATATTTATCTTGTTCAGAATCATATGCTGATAACAATAAGATCCAAATAAAATTAATGTATCTATAAATCTCTTTCTCATTTATATTTTTGTGTGTGCACACACACACACACACACACATATATATATATATATATATATATATATATATATATATATATATATATATATATAACCACATTTGTTCATATGCAAGATTTTCTAAAAGGATCTAGTTATTTAACCTTTATCACTCTGCACATGACTTCAGTGGTGTACAAAAAGTTTATCCTGCCACTGAAGGTGACTAATTCTTGAATAATAGTGTATTTGAATTTCATAATTGTCATGTAGCTATGGCAACAGAAAACAATTTTAAGTGAAATTAACAGTAAGGATACTGCAATTGAGACCTGGAAAGAAGTGATATTAATGCAGTGTGCTAAAGGTTAATATTAAAAAAAAAAGAATGGCCTACGAAGGTCAATAGTACACATTATTCTATACTACAGGTATTACTCATGGTGCAATTAAGGATCAAAGCTAAATGCCTGTTCTAAGAGATCCGCTTTCCACAGGAAGGGAACCATCTTAGTTTGGGCTTGCAGTAGTTCACTAGTCAGGTGAAGAAATTTAATTTTACACTTTTTAGCTTAATGGACATAATGTTTGTTTAATTTCCTTTCAACATGCTGTATTATTTTGTGATAGTGTTATTCCTAATGTATTGATGAAATTTAACTTTTTAGTAATTTGTGCCCTTCTTTTTAAAGGACATTTTTAAAAAGTTGTGTTGAATTTAGTATTTGTAGTTTTAGCTCAGTTTAGTTCACAAAAAATATAAAATAGCAAATGTTATTTTTATACTACAAAAGAATGAAAAGGCCATTAATCAATTAATTTTTCTCCAAAAATTTGAAATTCAAATATTTTAAAATAGGCCTCCAGTTCTGGTTCTTAGTTGCACCAAAATTAGGGCTATATTATAGAACACCATACCTTAATGCTCTTTGAAGTCCACTCCAATTATTTCAGAGTTCCTTCCATTTTTCAATACTGCCTACAAACTCCTTTTGGCGTTGCCATCAGCTACCTCATCAGGTTTTTTCTTAACCTCATTCCGGGGTTTTGACAGTTTAGCTTAGGGACAAGCTAGAAATGGCAGTCAAATCTTGATTGTATGTGGTAGGCTGACAAACTGAGGTAATTTTTGCCAAAACTTTGCTGATTGTGAAAATAAGTCATATATGGCATTGTGTTGCCACAGAAAAATTTTTGTTCTTGTATGTGCATAAAGATCCTTCCTGATTGATTGCCAAGTTATATCAAAGCCAAACCAGTTTTTGATATAGTCAAAATGACTTATATTTATAAATTTTTTTCTTTCCCCCCAGACAGTTCTAAAAGTGATGCTAAATTTCTCATAAATAACATTACATTTTATTCAACTTTGTGGTGGTTTTGAAGCCTTCTCCGAACATGGACTCTGTGTTCTCACACACATGTATCAGAATCTTCTCCCCCTGCCTCATGGTTAGATGTTTATATATCTACCTGTTATACAGTTTTTCTCCACATATACATCTTTCAACTTAACCATCTAATGCACCTGGCTTTTTTCAGTGTAGACCAACAAATACAATAAGAAAAATATTAATGCTGACGAAATTTCTTATAAAATATATTTTATTCCAATGTATATATCTATTTGCAGAGTCTTAGAGTTGATCTAACAGTTAACATCACAAAATACAAGACTGGCAAACTGAGTTCAAATTGTAGCTGAGGTAGTTTTTGTAGAAGACATGAGACCACCTCTCCCAATAAGACCAGTCATATCAGAGTAATCATTGCTACTGACATCATATAGCCCATTACAAACTGTTGGAGAAGGCACCATCAAAAGGTTTGGTTACATAGTACCCCCAACAATCTACTGAGCCAGAGAATAATCTGATTGAATGTTCTTGGTGTCCCCATAAGATCAGGCCAGAAATGGCTTCCTATTACTGGTACTATGTAATCCATAAGTTTTGGCAATTGTTTAGTAGATTTTTATTGTAATAATAAACTCAGACATGACACATTTGTAAGGACTTAAGCTAGTTAAGACCAAAATAATCAGGAGTTCCAAAATCGGGTTTTATGAGACCTTGGGTGTCCTTGTCTTGTTATATTGTTACAAGGCCTGGGAGATGACAAGCTTATTGACCTATTTCATAACAGCTTCAAAAAGGATCCTCAAGATTAGAAGGCAAGACCATATGAAAATGCCAGAACTTCTCCAGCATGCCTCCATAGAACCCCTTAGTGCCGATGTATGGCAAAGAAGATGGAGGCTCATCAGCTACACCAAATGACTGAAATGAGGTGCTGACTTAGGCTCATGACAGAAAAAAGAGAAGGAAGACTGAGAATGACATGGCAACAGACTATGGAGTAGGAAAGGGAAGCAATAGGCTGGCAATTATAGACGGCAAAGTGGGAGCCTTATGTGTCATGAGATACCAGGTAGATGCTAATATTTATGACCCCTGGTCGCAATTGCTCATACTACAAATGTTAGCACAACACAATTTTTTTTAAAGTCTTGATTTTCTAATAACTGGAGAAAAAGTAATATGAAAATCCATGAATAAAAAGCATCAACTTTTATTTCTGGCTAGAAAACTTTCAACAATAGGTCTACTTTATATGGTTAAACAAGAAAAGAAAGATTTACTTCAGCTAGCCTGGTGGACACAAAGTAAGAGTTCAGTTTAGTATTATACTAACATTGCTAAGAACTTAAAGTTTTGGAACTTTCAAAAAACTAAAAACACTCCACACTCCCATTAGTAACTCAGGTGCAAATTAATATGAGCTCCATTGGACAATCAGCTTAATGAAT